ATAGGGAATAGAGGAAATAGTTAGCAGTTTTTTTTCGAATTCATGTTTGTCTATTTTCTAGCAAATCAAGGAGTTAGGTGCTTTATGGTGGAGTGGTAGTGATGTACGCTTTGACGTGGAGAGCGAAGGTTCGTGTCCTATTTTAATCTTGTGACATTTTATTCCTGAATTTTATGCCAAGTCTAGGTTTGAGTTGTCGAGGCCCTCTAGTGTATCTTTAGGAGTAATAATCTGTCGTCTTTTCACAGAATTTCAAAAATTTGGAAAATGGGGGATAGAGGAGATAGTTGGCAGTTTTTTTCAAATCCATGTTTGTCTATTTCGTAACAAAGCGTAGAATTAAGTGCGCAATGGCGAAGTGGTAATGATGTGCGTTTTGGCATGGCAGGTGGAGGTTCAGGTCTTATTTTAATCTTTTGGTATTTTATGTTTGCATTTTATCCCATGTCTAGGTTTGAGTTATCGAGGCCCTCAAGTGTATCTTTAGAAGTAATAATCTGCGGTCTTTTTGCACTATTTTACTAATTAGGAGAATGGGGGATGGGGGAGATAGCTGGCAGTTTTTTCCAAACCCATGTTAGTCTATCTCCTGACAAGCGATAGAGTCAAGTGCATCATAGCAAAGTGGTAGTGGTGTGTGTTTTGACATGGAAGACGAGGGTTCGGGTCACACCTTTGAAACTTTTTGTTACGTCATTTCTGGATTTTATTTGAGGTCTAGTTTGAGCTTTCGAAGCCCTATAATTTATCTATAGAAGTAGTAATTTGCCATCCTTCTCAGTATCTTGGATATTAGAAAATGAGGAAGGGAAGAGGATAGTTGGCAGTTTTTCTTGAGTTCGTGTATGTTTATTTCGTAGCAAATAACAAAGTCAAGTGTGTCGTGGCGTAGTGAATATGGTGATTCAGATATTCCTAACATAGTTATATATTGATCAATACCGACGCAATCTACTGAAATGAGCTGTGACTCAATCAGATACCTTCAGGAATTAGGCTGCTTCACTAAAATTAATTAAGATGATCTGATAACATTTAGAGCTTTCGGGAACCGGTAAACCTGAAGAATTCGATCACGTAAAGATCCATCATGCTTTAGGACAAACCCGACGGCAGTGTTAGTTCTTCTTCGCTTTGAACAAGTTTTTGAAAATTTGCATCATTCTTTCTTTAAAAATTTACGTCATTCTTTTCCGTTCGATTTGAAATTTAGATCATTCTTTTTTACTATCGGTCGAACCCTTTATTCTCCGTGAGGATGACGTTAATGCAGTCGCGCTCTATCTCATTTTTAGTAAAATTTTTGGTAAGCGATGAGATGAACGAATTGTCGCATGAATCATTGAGCAATTCATAATCGTCACTCCTATATTATTGTCTATCACTGTTGTCATTATATCATTATTATGTCAACAAATGATTTCGCTTATTCGTATTTCTGTCTGATGTTCAATGTTTTGATAATGATTTGAGTAATTTAATGATCTCATCTAATTTCTCAATTTAATAACTAACAAATTTCAAGTTTCTTGCAGTATTTACGGATTATTTTTCGTTTTTCATTCGTTGTTTTGGCATGATGATACGTCAACATTGTCTAAGAATGTCAAGAATTTTCGATGAAATAGTGTGAAAATTTTGTGAAACAAGAGAGAAATATGGTGAATGGAAGGGAAATTTTGAGAAATGTGATCTGAAAAGTAAACGAATCAAAGGTGATCATCGAAACGAATAGATAAATTGCTTGCCAACATGGCCAAATCATGCCGTCATCACACAAATCAAACATACCGTTCATGCATCTATTTTCATTCTGTACTGTAAATGTATATGCACAGTGTCATAATCATTCCATTCGTTGTTCACAATCAGTTTTGATCAACATCAGTAATAACACCAACAACCACGTTTCATGATGACTCTATGAAAGGGTCTTTTCATGATATTTTCGTTTCATCCTTACTTTTGTCGTTATCATAACAAAGCGTTCCCATCAAACAATATGTTTTCAACCGTATTGGTGCTACGCCACGTATTCTGTTGCAATTGATGAGTGTTGCTACATCCACGTAAAATTGTACGTACTGAATTCATAATTAGTTAACAACTTATGCAACGTCCACTTGTGGACGTTGCATAAGTTGTTGACTGTTCCGCATCTGTATCATGAGTGTTTCAAGTGGTGTAGTCGACATTTCATACTGTTGAATTGCCGTATTTCATTGTGATCTTCAAACATTCTGCATTTCGATAAGATGCTAACGGAAAACTATATTGAAATGTCTATATTTGTTCGTTTCATATTAACTGTACGAGATGTATTCTTATTCATTGATATCAATGTCAGTTTGTATTCAAAGCACTATTCTTATATCAATTATTATCATTACTCTTATTTTTGCATATTAAAAATGAAGAATGTGGAATTTTTTCGTCATTATCCAGCTGCTCATTGGTTCAGATTGCAAAAATCCAATGAAACTTGCAAGACTTTTAAAATTGCAATCTGATTTCATCATCGTCGGTTACATATGAATGAATTGCGTGTCGTGCAACATGTTCATCAATCAAAATGTGTTCACTAATCCAAAACACCAAAACAATTTTTTTTNTTTTTTTTCAAATCGATTCAGCCGAATAGAAATCATAAAGCATTCCATCAGAACGAACGAGAGCAGCACTCTTCACTGAAATCTCATTGAACATTGGTGTTTGCTGAAAGATCCAATGCTTTCTGGTTGCTTATCGTTAGGTTATTAATTAGTTCATCATTCTAACCGGTTATTCATAATTACAATTAACAGTCAACTATTCATAAGATTTCTCATTGATTAATCTTCTTTCACATCTTCCATCTGTTTTATTACACTGTGACGAACTTATTGATTCTTTGATTTCATGCAATTTTGCATCTTGAGTTCGCAAATTTAATCATTTCACCAGCTACGCTTCTCATCACTGATTCTTTCTGATGCTTTCGTTCCGCTCGTACCATTTAATAACTGAATGAATTGAATATATTCTAAATATCATTTAAAATTTTCGTTCATTCAATATACTTTATTAATAGTGTATGTGGCTATCGTTTTGGGATTTGATGATGATCCACGTTTCTTGCCAACGCCTCATATTCTGTGTATAACCTGCATATGTGTTAGGTCCAATAAATTTCAACTAACATATTATCCATGCTACTGTTATATTGTCTGAACATCGTTTGCTATACAAGCTTCATGTGATCGCATTCTTGTGAGCCACGTATCGTTCGCTATTGTATATAGATGAATGGGAAGTTTTTGTTAGTATTACTTTCGTTTCACTCAGTGTATTTATTCCTCCACTCGGCGCTAGCATCAGCTCTTTTAATCGTGAAATCATCATGTCACTTGAGTATTTTGACTGATTGTTGAAAGACAGACACATTCATTGGTGTATTATATAATAATGCCCGTAGGCTATTGATCTGTTTCACTGTTCTCGCACGCTAACCAAAGCATTTTCTGCATTACGTTTGCCAGTCACAATGCATTCATTTCACAAGTCAGCTGATTTTCAATCGATATCCTCTTTAAAATCGAAAGTAAACATATATCTCGAAAGAATGAACGAATAATCAAAATCTGAGCAGTGCTTTTTAATCTTTCAATGCTTTGAAAATGGCGTTCATCTTCATTGCTTCCGAACATTCTCATATTGAGTTGTTTCATTCGATTTTTGATTCCATTCTCTAATATAATAAAAAATCCTCTCCACTGTTTGTATGAATCAGATTACATTCCCTTTCTTTCAATGAGTTAATCGTCAATTTAATTATTGTGTTTTATTCTTATAAGACCGACCATAATCATATTCTACAGCTATCATTACTCGCGTCATTATTACCAACAATGATGATGTTCTTATCATTCATTCTCGGATAATCAGTTAATAATTAGTTTAACTGAGTATTGCTTCATTAATATTGTTGTAAATATCATGCCTGTCAGTACTTTGGTCATCATCATGCACTTGTGCACCTAAAACATGCGCTGTACTTATTTATTATCATGCAATCACATGCTGCGCGTCGTGTTTACCGCATTACTTTTGCAAATACTTTTGCAAAAAGTTTTTTCAGAATTTTGTATGTTTTTTAAATCGCAGTTCGATCACTTTTTCAAATTATTACTCACGTTTCATGATATTCTTCAGTTTCTTATCGCTACATTTTACATTTAAGTCGTTCATTATTGACACCATGATGACTTTTTCAAAAGTCATCATAAACATTAAATATTTCTGATGAAACTTAAGATTAAGATTAAAAATTTACGCAATGATTATTTTCGTAGAAATGTTACAGCTGACTGCTCGCTCAGAATACGAACATAATTAATGTCTAGTGCAACAAGTATTATTGCTGAAAATCCATCTGCAACAATGGAATCCAATGGTAATAATATTAATAACAATCAAATGAAAACTGATCAATCGCTACCTATGAATGCAAATTGGTGAGCATAAAGAAAATTGTTTCAATCCCATAAAGAACTGCTAACGTTTTCCTAATGAACTTGTTATCTTTGAATTTCGACATTTGCATGTAATTTTATCAGGTTCAGTCTTTGTTCAGTCTTCTCATTATTTTGTGCTGTAAGTAATCTGCCTGAGAATTTCCAAGAATTTCCCTCACACTGCAAAATTCTCGCGCAATTTCNCAATGCCATGAAATTTATTACTCATCAACATTTGTCCATTCAATTTTCCCATCTGACCTTTACCATTCTCTAGTTCTTGCTAATTGATGAGACTCGATTAAAGTTGATATGAAAAGGACACAGTATGATCTTCAACACGTTTTGCCATTCGAAAGTATAGAATCTGATCGAAACTGAAATGTCAATGATATTGGTACTGTTGTTACGAGCCTGAGCCAGGCTATGAGTTGGCCTCTCTCTGATTATCTGAAATTGAACAGTGTCAATCTGTATTATAGCTGCGCTGATATTCGAAGCAGTACCATGAATGGCACTACGAATGGTAGCATGCTCAACTCATCTTCGGAATGTGAAATCGGCGCATCGAACGGCTCGCTCTCGTTAAAATCTTCCCATATGAGCCAACAATGCATGCAGAAACTTTCTCAAGGGGGACCGTATGTGCCGCTACATGAAAGAATTCAGAAACGAATCGCAGATCGCTCTCCATTCTTTTCACTCGAAGTAATTTTCGTTGGAACATATTTTCCTCGCATAAAATTAGTGATTTCCTAGTAGTGAAAAAAATCCCAATTGTCATGTGCACCATCTATATTCATCTTCTCATCCTAACATGTACAAGCCTTTCAATAAATAGAAGGCAAAAATATTCTGGATTTTGAGTATCAATGCCCTCATAGAACTTCATCTCTGTCAAAATTGTTGCACAACTGTGTTTCATCTAAGCTAAACAAACAAATTACCCAATTTTTGAATCATATTTCCTCCAAATTACATGCACCCACCAAAATACCCACTTATTTTTTCAGTTTTTCCCACCAAAGACCCTGAACGGAGTGGGGAATTTCTTGACTCGTCTTGATCGACTTCGGGAGGGCAGTCCAATGTTCATCGATGTCACCTGGCATTTGGGTTCTGATCCAGGTTGGTTTTGAAGCTCTCAACTCTTATAGTTCCCCGATTTTTCATTTCTCGCTTTCCAACCAATATTTCTATCTCTAGTCAATTCATCTGCTCTCTTCTTTTCTCATACACTGCTGTTAGATCATCCAGTTGCTCACTGGTTAATCGTTGAATCCTCCTATCTCATCTCAAATCCAGGTAATCTCAAAAAAGAAACTTCATCGATGTCGATTGCTGCAAGTTGCTTGAACTATTGTCGTGTTGATACGATGTTACACGTTACATGCGCGCAATACACACGAGAACAAACGTTGAAGCATTTGGAAAAGAGTAAAGAGATGGGACTAAGGAATATCCTGGCGTTAAGAGGCGATCTTCCGAATCAGGTGAATAAACTCCTAGTTTCTCAATGGAAATCATTCTCGCAAAAGATTACATAATTCCAGTGTATGTGAAAATTTTCGTATTTTCCATAGCAAATGCTTCATTTGCCACATTCCTCATACTAAATCACTGATAATCTTTGAGTTATATATCTGTTTCAGAATGAAAATAATACAGTTTATCAGTTTCGAGCGCTTGATATGATTCGGTGGATCAAAGAAGAGTATGATGATTATTTCACTATTGCTTGTTCAGGTAGGGTTTTTCGTCCACTTGTAATATTCTTCCTGAATATCTTCTTTATGTATTCATAATATCCGGAATTGACTTGAGAGCACCGGAATCATTTCGTTCTTTCTCGAAAACATTTCATTTCGTAACAGTTCTGCGCGTTGACGTTCATGAATTCGAACCAATTCTCAGGATATCCAACCGGTCACCCAGAAGCACCATCTTATGCGGCAGATATTCGCTACCTGAAGTCAAAAGTGGACGCCGGTGCGCAGTTTGTCATCACTCAGTTATTCTTTGATGCTGCTGTCTTTGAGAAATTTGTCCGCGATTGTCGAGAAATCGGCATAACTGTACCAATTATTCCAGGCATTATGCCTATACAGGTGATTTTTTAGTCACTTTATTGTCCGTTCCTATATTCATAATCCGGATGTTCTCAGTCAGTATTCTTTCCTCATAGATACCAATCAATCATCCAAATAGGTACCAAGCGAAATCAACAGAAATGTTTCACCATTGCAAAAATCTTTTAATTGAAATGATTTCAAACTATTCTATCTCGTCAGTTTCATGTCTATTTTTAATATTTTCAGTTTCATTACTCACTTTATCCATTCTATCGTTATCATACTCTCAATCACTACATACCTTTGATTTGCTCTTATTACCATCGCTCTTCAGATCTTATTTCTCTTTTCGTTTCCTTCACATTGCATTGAGTTGCATACTACATTTTGAACAATCTTTTCAAATTTTACTCATAATTAAATCGTTAAAATATCACAAATTACCAGATTTTCTCTTTCACCACTAAATCAAGATATTGTTTCACCTGAAAACATGATCTCCAATTCAACAAAACTTTATCTCCTCACTCTAAGGAACCTTACTCATTTGAGGAACCCAAATGCGGACATTTTTCTGAATATCGATTTAAAATCAGTTCCTAGCAAGCCATCGGTTCCAAATTCCCGCAATTCACCATGTATACGCCTAATTATTCTCTGATATTGTTCTCCGATGGCAGGGCTATGAAAGTATTCGTCGGATCGCCGATATCTCAAAGTTGACGATTCCGGAATCGATTCTGACCCATCTGGAGCCAATCAAGAACGACGATGATGCAGTACGAAGCTTTGGCATTCAACATGCGGTTGAAATGTGTCGTCACATCCTGAACTCGGGAGCTGCTACTTCAGTCCATCTGTACACAATGAACCGAGAAGCCTCATGTCGGTAAGGTGGCTGCTAACCTTCCGGCTGTTGTGTCTTGATTGTTCAGAAGTTTGAAACATTCGGAAATCTCGAGAACGAAATCCTCTAAATTGTTACAATAGAGGACATCAAAGATGCTGATTTTTACGGTGAAGTCGTCGATTTCAATGAGAAAAGTATGGAAAATAACTGCTGAAAACAGTTCCAGAATTTATCAGAATTTCACAATTTTCAGTGAAATTCTTAAAGCTCTTGGCCTATGGACACAGACACCGTTGCGAAGTCTTCCGTGGAAATCGTTCGACGGAAATCATCCTCTTCGTGCCAAAGAGGACGTTAGACCGATTTTCTGGTCAACTCGTCCCAAGGCATACGTTTTCAGAACAAGGGTTAGTAATTAATTGCCCACAACATGAACGCACTTCTGAATTCGAACTTTATGGGAATCAGAATTCTCGAGTATTGTTCTACAGTTATCCTGAAGTTCGGATGGATTATTTTAGTGCTATCGTTTAAACGATGATTAATTCAGGTCAAAATGATCTAAAGACTTGAATTGATGTAACTATATGCGAGGACTTGTAAGTTCAGATTAGTGATGTCTCTATTACAGCTAAACTGTTCTATTTCTGTTCTGTTCCATGGTACAGGATAACACAGTTCGCAAATCAGGAAGGAACAGTTTGAACAGAATAGAGTCGTTTTTGAGCCAAAAAAGAATAGAACAGTTTTCAATAGATTTTGGCTGTTCCTTAAATTGTTCTTTTTGAATACTGCAGTGAGATGATAAATTAGCACTGTTATATTTATTACTATTATTTATTATTATTATATTTATTGTTGTATTTGTATATTTTGTTATTATTACTATTGTTACTACTATTATTATTATCATTATTATCATTACTATTATTATATTTATTATTATTAGTATTATTATTCCCATTATTACTATTATTGCAATTATTATTATTGTTATTATTATT